CCCCCCACCCCTGCATATGACTGTCAATGTGCTGCAGTCTTCTGAACACGTCTGGAGCAGTCCAGTCTTTTGTTCTCTATCACGAATTAGCACCATGATTCAGTTTAGTTTTTTGTTTTAGTAGAGGTTTTACGGCGCTCAGGACTGCATAAGGTCATATGAGCGCCAGAAGATTAGAGGTGTTACAAGATCAAGAGAGTAACAAACATTAAAAAAAAGAAGGAGGGGAGATAAGGACGATAGATGTTTGATAGGAAAGAAGAAGCAAACCACACCAGGGCACCCGCCAACCACCCACGCACCATGATTCGTTCGCGCGTGAGCAAAGAGAAGCTAAAAAGACAGGAGAAGGGACAGAGAGAAAACTGAGAGATTTGGTAGAGAGTGAGAGATAGACAAGCCGGCAGACAGGAGGACAAACAGACAGACAGATTGACAAACAGAGAAATGTACAGGCTTCCCTTGAGAAAATTAATTGGTATTTAAATCTAGATTTAAGCAAATTTTGCCACCACTTTGATCTACTATGAAATGCGAAAATTGTCTGGCAGAAAAGGCAACTCATCGAGAGGGCAATGATGCTTCCGGTCACTGTTTCGAATTTTGCTAGCGGCTAGCCAATAGCCATGGTCGACGGCTTAAGAGCTACTTTCAACATTAGAATTGTATTTTAACAGTTGACAGGCCTTGAATTTTCGACTAGACGAGGTAAACTGGTCATCCTGGAGGGTGAATACACATAGATCTAGGTCCGTTGTTTTTTTTGTCACTTTCATGACTTACTGAAAGAAAAATGGCGATCTTTGAATGCCAATGCCAATGGACTTACGTCAACACCGAAACAACCGTTCTTACAGTCTCAGTTAGATCTACTCTTGACTTTCACTTTCAGTTCCCCAAGAACGGGGCTGCCTCTCACTTTCTGACTTAGGTCTAGAATCTAGATGTAGATCTAGATCTAATGTCTAATGTATGAGATGTATTGTGTATTACACTTTATGAATTAAAATCTACCCGAGATGTGTTTTACACTCTAATATGAATCCCCCCCCCCCCGCACACACACACGCACACTTAGTAAGCCTACACCAGCAGTGGAATTTCTGTATTAGGCCTATTTGTGTACACATTTTGTAAACACTGAATGGGTTCTTTTACTTACAGACTCACAGAAGCTTCACTGAGTTAAAAATAATCAAGCAGTAGGCCCTACCTTTCCATGATATGTTTGGCTCCAGTTGATTCAGCTACACTGACAAACTAAACTTACTGCTGTTACTTGGACAAATTGTTGAGTTCTTGACTCTTTATTTTAGTCTTGGTTCTTTAGAAACCTTTGTTGTATCTTCATACAAAATTGAAATTATACCTATGTATTAGAATAAACTTTGTAATGTGTGTTGGTTACTTGCTTGACAAAAATATGACAATTTAACCAATGTTTATTTTTGTCTTTTAAGGGCAATATGACAAAATCCAAGTCACAGCATGATAGCAAGATTAAGAAGACATCTTCATGGCACTCAGGGGACTTGAAAAAGACTGCTTCACTAGAAGACCAGTTCTTCTCTGAGAGAGCTGTCACTCATCATTCGCCAGCTATGGGCCGCTTCACCGTTACCAGAGTTCCAGAGGTTGGAGTAAATCTTACAAGAAATGCTGATGTTCGCAGCGGCACTGACCAGTCAGATCAGGGCTCCCGTGTCATGCCGATCAGCATATTTGATGAGCCGACAGTGCAAAGGAAGACACGAAGCACCCCGGAAGGTATGTAAATGTATTGTGAGTGATTCAATCATGACAGTTTTGTTTTTTAACCTTTTATAGTTTTTGATAGAGATGAGGGATTTGTAAAGGTATTATGATTTAGTTTTACCAGTAATTTACAGAACCCTTTTAACCCCCAAAATTTTATTTTCAATCTGTTATGATTTCAAACATGGAAATCGTTTGTGGTCACTTTGGCTGTACATTAATCTTGAATAATTACGTGAAACGAAGTGGATCATTTCCATTAAAACTGGTCCTGTGTACACAATTCTCTTTCAGGTACTCACCAGCTGAGCTTTGATGGGTCTTATGATACTCATACTCTCACCCTATATGAGGTAAAGAAGATTACAGTTAAGCATGCACATAGGGAAATCGGCGAGACATGGAAACCTTTTTGTCATGTCGGAATTTCGTAGAATTTGAGGCTCTTTCATAGATAAATAGATGTTAAGGGAGGTAGACAAAGCTGGAAAATCCGGTCAAACTTTTCATGAATTATGTCCCCATGCACACCAACATGCATGTTAGATTCATAGTTTTTTTTGTTTTGGTAAGTACTTTAAGGCACTTGTAACTGCATTAGGTCATATGAGAATGAGGAACGCATTAACCATTTTTGGTTTGGTTAGAATTATGAATTTTGCCAGTGTGGTGGCATTTGCTGTCAGATTTCGAATGAGGGACCTATTGAATAAGAGGCGAACACTGTAACCTCTAAACCACAAGGGCCCCCCCTCATAGTTGTTAAATTTTATTTTGCAGTTTTCAGTTTTTGACTTTGATTTTTATCCAACTCTGACTCTGGCTAGGATCACCCCTTTTTTTTATCTAGAAACGTTTCAATTTCTTATGCTCCGCTCTCTACTGCAACTTCACTTTGACTTAACTATAAAGAAGCAGTTATGGACTGAAAATCTGTTTACAATGTACATTTTTCACTATTTGCATGTTCGCTATTTGCATGCTTGACTGTACTTACCTTTTGTTAAATTTTTGTTGATTATCAAGTGCAGGAGAAATAAACGATACTTTGAAGTCAACAATTAATGCTTTTCATAATTCTTGCATGTACAGTGCCCCCCTTACACGAGTTTAGACTAACTTAAAAAGGAATGCATTTCATCCTTCCTGCTGCTGATCGATTCAATTTTTGTTTGGTCATTTAATTAAATCCTTATAAGGATGGACATAATATTCTGCTTATATTGTTTAAATAAAAAAAATAAAAAAAATACGCCTTACGTTCCATTATGTGTTCACATGAATCATAGTAGTAGTTAATTCACCTTGTACAATGAATTGCCATCAGAAGAGATGTGTTTTGAAAACCATGAATAAAAATATATTATACAGGGATGCCGAATCTCAGATTTTTTCCGTCTTTTTTCATACACTTTCAAAGGAAAGGGGAATGATAAGAGAAATGTTTTTGTTTGCTCATTTAAAGATTTTACAAGATTCGTTTTAGGTGAGGTGTGATACTCCGCTCATTTTCCGTAAAAAAAAAAAAAATCATTTGGCATCCCTGATTATAAAAGCTCTCTGTTCCCTTACTGCTCTTTGTTTCAGGATGATTTGCAGGAAGGAGACACGGTTCTGAGGGTTGTCAAAAAAACTGTTGATTCTAGTTCAGACTCGGGGAATGCACAAGTAGGTTCTTGAAAGCAACCCAGGTTATACATGTAATGAACCAGTTTGTTATTCATGCAATGTTGACTTTATAAAGTGATGATCGGTGTCTTTTCTTTTCTCGTCACTGAGCTCAAGGCATCGGCATGATCTGTACCTCCATGTGTGTTGTCAGAAAATCATGCAAGGTGACCTCAAGGTCCACCCTTGAAAATTGTTCCCTCATTTCCTTCTGATTGTCTGTCTTTCCAGTTTCCATTTGTCTTTTTTCTTCCTGTTATTGTCCACCTTGAAATCACTAGAGAGTGGTTTTAAGAAGTGCTATAGTTCAAGAATAAAATTATGTTTCTTGATCGATTATTTTAGAACTCATTCAGTTAACGGTCTTTTTTGGTAACTTCAGTGACTCTGCTCTGCTGTCAAAGGTTAGATATCTGCATTTGAAAAAAATGTGCTTGTAAATGACCGTTAGCTTTTTCTCTTTCATTGAGGCCTAGTCAGTACGAGGGGGGTTCAAGAAGTCTTTAGTTTAAATATGAAAGAATCAAGATAGAGCTTTGTAACTTAGCTCACATACTTTTATTTCTCTACACAGTCATCATGCAAAGTAACACATTTCTTATTTTTAGTTAATGTAGCTTGAGGTATACCTTTTCTTTTGGTGCCAACTCCATTATTTTGATGAGTGCTACATCCCCACAATACCACACGCCACACTTATTAGCTACATCCACACTGTTTTGTTTAAATGGTTCTCAAATTATATGTGTGCTTCCCCATTCCCCCCCCCCCCTTTTGACCTTTGCAAATTTGTCTTAGGTTTTAAGATTTTGCTCCTTTTCCTTTCTAGCTTGTTTATTGTTGATTTGACCTGGACAAGAAATGGGGGTTGCATGAATAGAAAGATTTGTAGACATTTGCTTTAAAATGAATTATTTTTTTCCTGTAGTTAAAAGAGAACACATGAACTATTTCCAACAGAAAGCAAACCTTGGTACATTTTTTGGTGTCTTCCTCCCCTGTTGCCAAAACATTGTTGGAGTGATCTATTTTCTACGCTTCCCCTGGATTGTCGGCTGTGGAGGCATAATGGAGGCCTTTATCATTGTATTTATTTGTAATATGATGGTGAGTGTGACAAAAGTGATGTATGATATTTAGAAACAGCGTAAGGGATCTGTAGAGTGACATGCTTAGGGTTTGTTAAGGTTATATTGTGATTATTTTTCATGCCATTATTGAAACAGTAATTTGCCAAGATGCACTGTGCATGAAACCATGACTTCCTGACTATCAAGCATATCTCAAGAGATGGAGGTTTGTAATGTCTCCGTATCCTGCCAACTGCAGTGCTTTGTTGTAGTTGTAATGATGTTTTTTTTTATCTCCCATCAATACTAATTAAATCAGTTAGGAAGCAGGCCACTTTGACCTTGCTTGTCAATGTCAACCCAGGCTGAGAGGGATACAAAGTTCCAGCAGAAAGATGGAGATACTTGATAAAAATTCTCCCCTCGCTGGAATTAAATGCATGTCTTCTGCCAAGTGCCTAAACGCTACACCATAGATGCTCGTTGCAGCAATGCTTAAAAAAATTAGAAGCTTTCTATCCGGGGCAGAGTAAGTTGGTGTTGTTTTTTTGTTAAAAAAAACTTTAAAAAAATATTAGTCTTATAAGTGAATGTCATATAACCATACATCTTTTTTTACATGGACCTTGTATAGAAATTCTGGGGCTTCAAGGAATAATCAATGATGCAGCCACAGTGCAGAAAAGTTGTATGTTTATTTATTACAGTTTTGGATGTCTAGACCAAACTGAAAATAATTGTACATAAATGAATATTTTACTTAGTTGTCGAAATAATTTAGATTGTTTGAGAGGTGAGCTTCATCAAATCTACCTGTCAGGACGAGTAAGAAACTCACTAAGTAAAAAGAAGGAGGTACATAATAATATAGGTTTCCCTGCACTGAAGTTGAAGTCAAGGCTGCGGGTAAGGGTGAGGAGCCTAGCCCTTACATCACTGATGCCAGTGCACATCTGCAGTGCGCTTGATTATATAATCAGGGATGTCAAATCTCCGGTTTTTCCGGCTTTTTCCGTCTTTTTTCATACACTTGCATAGGAAAGGGGATAGGTAAGAGAAATGTTTTTGTTTGCTCATTTAAAGATTTTACAAGGTTCGTTTTAGGTGAGATGTGATGCTCTGCTCATTTTCAGTTTTTTTTTCAAAAATCATTTGGCATCTCTGTATAATGATATTGATGCAGAAGCCTTTAGGCATTTCACTCTCTTTACCCAAAGAACTCAAGTGTACCCTTGAGAGTGTCTACCTTGTACCCTTCTGTGTACTAAGTACACACTTGAGGGCACAGCCTGGCAGGAACTCTCTGGTGAACAATTCTGGCAGGCTCATAGGGACAGGGCTCTAAAGGTTGAATTTATTAGGACATTTTCTAATATGTTATGTCAGTTATCAAGACTTTTTGTTTTAAAACTTATGTTTGTAGCTGCTAATGAGGTTGCTTAACTTTACTTGATTACTTGATCCTGGGAACAACATCATATTCTTAGCACTCCGGGCATTGCTTAATAAGTTTAGTGAAGCTCATGCTGATTCATCTCTGAGTGTTGATATCTTTTTTTTGTGTTTCCCCAGAGTGTGACAACTGCTTTGTCCATGAGCGCCATTGCCACCAATGGGCGGGTCACTGCTGGTGGCACCTACTTCATGATCTCAAGGTCTCTGGGTCCTTCTTTCGGTGGTTCTGTGGGTCTGCTGTTCTTCCTAGGAACATCCATATCTGTGGCCATGTATTATGTTGGCACAATTGAAGTATTGTTGGTAAGAAAATTGGCTTCAGAGCTGATGTTTCAATGGGAAAAAGCTCAAGTGAGAAAAAGAAAGCTCTGTAGAATGGATTGTGTATACATTGCCATCAGTTCTAGTATAATCAATGATACTATTTTGCACAAGGCATGTGAAGGGAACATTCAACTAAGCAAAATACTTTGTTCTGTGACGAGCCAAATCTGAATATATATAATTAGAATTTTTTTTTTAGGGATCTAACTAGTTGACCCAGTTTTTGAATGTTCTGGAAGTAGGCTGTCTTTATCTAGTGCAACACTTAACGAAGTAGATGTTTCTCTAGAAATTTACTTTTATTTCACCAGGTTAGATTTTGCACTTCTGTGTAGATTTGTGAGGCATCATGGTGAAATCAGGCAGTCGTTAAAATAATTAAATCGAAGATATCGACGTTTTTCCTCCAGTTTGACCTTTTTTTGGGTCTAATTCTTGTTTTTTGGCTCCACACCTTTTATGTCCATTTAAAAACATATTTCTGTGTGGATTTGACTGAAAAACATTAATTTATGTCACAAAAAATGTAAATTTCAGTTTTCTAGAACTCAAGCATTGGAAATCACCAAACTTTGGCCGCCATTTTCTTGCTAATTTTACATTTGAAACCAGGCGACCCCAACCTCCTTCAATGGCAAATATCGTGACTGGTATTCAAGATAGGCGTGTATTTTTTTTCTTTAAAAGATAATCAAATGAACAAGCTTTAAGATAATACCAACAACTCCAGATGCCCAAAAATTGACGAGGGCCTGATTCTACCGAGTCGTGTCACATTTAGCTTATGAAATTTAGCAATGTTGTTCTGTTCCCAAATGTGATACCCCTATTTGGATCATTTAACCAAAAGGACCTGTGACACCGATATATATATATATCACTGTGTAAATTATTTGCCCTTGCCCGGAAACAGCGATAGATTGGTGTGTGCTAGTCTGCAATAAAATTGTAGGCCTAGTCTGTACAAGGATAAAAACGGTAAAAAATGACGTCTAGAGGACTTGTAGGTTCGTGGTAATTGTTGTACAGGTCAAGGCAGCTCAAAGAAGAGAGAATTGGTTTGACTAAAGCAGGTACGCGGAGTTCATGGAGTATGTAGTCATGTTTTTTTCTCAGGAAGCCAAGGGACGGGTTATTTTGGGCTCAGGAGGTCAGGGTTGTTTGGAGTATTTTTCAACATGAAGGGTTTTTGGTAGAAATTGCCCCAGTGAAAAGCCTATGCACACATCTAACAGACAAGAGGTTGAAAATGATTGATAAGGTGATCATTTTAGCTTTATTCCACAGACTTACATTGCCCCTGAAATGGCCGTGTTCAAGTCCACTGGAGACAATCCGCACGCTGAAGCCAATAACTGTCGTTTGTATGGCACTGCTCTGTTGCTGGTCATGTCCATAGTTGTCTTCATTGGGGTTAAGTGTGTTTCTCGCTTTGCACTCTTTGCCATTGTGTTCCTGGTAGCTGCGCTGCTGAGTGTCTTCGTTGGGCTGGGTATGGCAGCAGCTGGGGCTGGTGAAACGTTCTGGTGAGTTCTTGTTGACCCCCCCTTGTGAAATTCATCTTGGTAAGTCTTTTACGGTGCTCGCAGCTGCATAAGGCAAGGTCATATGAGCGCATGGAACACACTAAACATTTTCAGTTGGTAGGAAATTTGGAATTTTTGCCCGGGTGGTGGCCGAAGTCTACTCTTATCGATTTTGGACTACCTAGGGATCTTCATTGTGCGCAACTTGCACAGCGGACCTCCGTGATTTTTCGCCCTTTTCTGAGAAGGCTAGGTGTAGATCTTTCCTACCTGAAGATCAGGGGCATGGTTAAAAGACAGTAATAAGAAGAAGCTAAGGAGTAGCAGTAGAAAGGCTGCAGAAAGAGTCAGGAGCCCAGAGGAGGGGGCAAAGGGGATGGGGGCAGAAAGTTGAGACGAAAGCAGACGACAGAACATTTTTAGAGAGCAGGAAAAGATGTGAAAGGAGAAAATTTTAGAGAAGGAAATTTACCGTCACTATCCAGATTCGAACCCGGGACCTATTGAATGATAGGTGAACACCTTAATCCCACCCCCCCACCCCCCCTTGTGGAATGTGTTTTACTGTCGGTATAAGGTCTAGATCAAGGTGCTACATGGGTCGTTCTGAAAGGAAAAAAAACCCCAAACAGTTATAAGAATTTTCCCCAATTTTTTTCTCTTGAGAATTTCTATACTGGTTGATTCAGCAAGAAGTTACTGTACTGAAATTAAATGAACAAAGAAGAGCAGAAAGGCTGTTGCGTGTTTATTGTTCTCTTCTATACTCTACAAACCAGTATCAAGAATATGTGGAAAGAAATAACCTCGATGAGTTGCTCCAAATTTTTTATTTTGCTCTCTCACTTAAGCAGTGTCAGCCTGAAACTTTTTTAATGACAACAGTGACAGTAAACTCTGCCGTTATTTCATCAACAGTCACAGTGTTATATAACAAGAAAACACTGGCAAGTCTTTCTTTACCACCATACATGAATTTGTCTCTTGAAAAGCGCATTGAGCTACTTTTTTTGGAAATGCGTTATATAAATGTTATATATTATTATTATTATTAGTAACATATTATTATTATTAAGTCTTGTCGGCCTGTCTTACTTTTTCCTCGGCACCAAGTGACCATTATATTGTCAGTGTACTGTTCTTTACCTTGAAAATTCAAATTTTATAGAAAGTTGTCAGTTACTGTAGACTTTATTGTAAGGGTGCGAAAGTCTGAAGGTTGGAAGTAAATAGGGATATTTATATTTTGATTAAAAAGAGTGAACTTGAGAGTTCTGGAAACACAATGCATGGTAAATAAATTTTAGAACTAATTTTATCCGGTTTTTTTATCATTAAACAGTACCGCAATTTCAATTTTTGTGAGCCCTGTGTTAATAATATGGTTCTAGCTTGTGATTTATGGAAAGTTTTTGAAAATGTCAATTATGAAGAAAAGTTTTATCATTTGTCGGAATACGGCTATTTTAATTTCCTTTCTTTTATAAGGAAAAAAAAACCCTGATCATGTAACTGATTTAGTACAGCTATTCTAATTTTCACTTTCTAATTCTCCTTCACTGTTCAGGGTTTGCGCCTTAGGCGAGCGGCTTGTGCGCTACAGTCTTGTACATAACAACGGCTCGTGGGAGTGCCACAAACAGCCATCAGGCCCCCTGTACTCTGCGTACTGTCACAAACACAATGACTCTATGGTGTGTGATGACTACTTTGAGAAGAACGAGGCCAAACTCATTCCCGCTATTCCTGGTTTCAGTATGAGGCTGCTTGAAGGTGAGATGAATTGGTCTCTTCAAAACATATCCTTTTTTTTTTACCTTTGACAAAATTCTTTGTTCAGGCCCCACTGGATTAAAAAAAAAAATTTCTCATGTTTTGTTTTGATGGTCAAAAGATACATTTCTTAATATGGTATACTTGCCTTCGCTTGCTTATTGATTTCTTTGGTAGTAAAGGCAGTATGAGAAGGTATTTCCTGTGAGATCAGATTGTTTCACAGTGTTTCTATTCATAAGTGAAGAAATGCTTTTGTTAGAAACACTTGTAAAACAAGTCTTTGGCTCTTTTTGCACATGATGTGATGTTCAAATGGCAAAGTATTTCTCCAGTGAAGTGGAGGGTGTACCATTAACTCCGGAGGTATCAGTATCATGCTGAGCTATGATGCAGTTGACCCTGGTTTGAATCCTCAACAGAGCTTTTTGGGAGTCCTTCTTTCTTATCAAACATCTTTCGTCTTGATCTCTCCTTCTTTTTTATGTTTGTTACTCTCTTGTAACACCTCTAATCGTCGGCACTTATATGACCTTATTGTGTTGAAAAGTGCCGTAAAATATTTACTAAAACTAATACTTTTGGGAGCTTAGTTTTGTCCCGTTGGAGATGGATGTCGGATTTGGAAGTCTTATACCTTAGATATCCTTAGTGTTGAAACTGTATCACACGGTCAACGAACATGGATTCTCTCGGACATATCTTTTCTAGATTATGAAAAAATTGTTCTTTTCCTTTTATGAGTCATTTGTACAAAAATCTTTGTGGGGCATTACAATAAAAGATTTCCACATTGCACTGTGTTTGCAAATGTGTCATAATAAACTTGGATAACAAATTGGGGTATTAGTTTTCTTGTTTTGTTTTGCTACCCCTTTGCTTACTTTTGTCCTGGGTTTGGGGTCAAGGTCTTATATGGTGGCTTTTAAGCACAAGGAGAGTTTTCTCTATAACCTAACAAATATAGACACCAATGAAACCAAACTTCTCCTATAGGTAGGGCAATGCCCAAATTTGGTGTAGATCAAGATATCTGGAAACCCCCGAAATCTGGGTTAGCTCGCTTGTCCTTAAAAGCGTCCATATGGTCTCTTGAGAGGCGGTTCATGATTTAATATACCCATCTCTATTTGTTGGCTGATGTGCTTCTGTGATGACATGTGACCATTTAACTGTGAAAGTTGATGTCTGTGTCATGATACCGGCAGATGTAAAATTCATCACGGCATACAAGAGTCACACATCGGAAAAATGTTGTGATGTGAAGTGTGCTGGAAACTTGCATATATTGCAGTCTCTGATATGTGCTCAATGTGTCGGTTTTCCTAAGTCACTTAAAGTCTGTTGTGCTTAACACTTTAGGTACTGTTGGGGACTTAAGTCGCCAGACCGTAGTATATGCTCATGACCGCTGGCAATTTTAGTCGCCGACTTGACCAGGTGCACTAAGCATAAACAACGGACAGAGCCACTGCACTGAAGTAAATTTACCAAAGGAAGTCACTCGATATGATAGTTGAATGGTTGATGAACCTCTGTGAATTTTTAAAGCTCATTTCTTGGGCTGCAAAGGGTTTTTTTATTTTAAAAAATCTACCGTGGCTTCAGCATTCTGAACTGGTGCGGTACTTGAGGGTTTTTCACTATATGAGCTTTCAGTACTGCAAGTGTTAAAGATGTTCCAAATTCCTCAACTGAAAAGTGATTTGTAAAAATGTTCTATTTTCAGCTTCATTCTACAATTTTTATACAAAAGCTGGCAACATTCCTGGGACTGATGTCAAGGCCAATCCCTCAAGAGACATTGTCACAGATATAACTACTTCATTTGTGTTTCTTTTTAGTATATATTTCCCGTCCATTACAGGTAAGTAAAAATGTTTGCCATAATGTTATGACCAAATTTCACTTGGTGCAAAAGTCAAGGCTCATTTAAGATATAAATTGTTATTATTATTATTGATAAATTGATGTCCAGTTGTGTTACAGATTTTTCACCAAAACAGTGGTTTCTTCAAGATCTCTAGTCCTATCAAGTACAGAGGCTATAAGAGATGATGTAGTCGTCTTCCAGTTATACTGAACATGTTTGTCATTTTTTCATTTTGTTGCAAAATTGTTTGTGACCTTGAATGATGTTGAAAAATCATCTATTTGAGACTGCTTGTTCATAACAAAGACTTGCCAAGAAAGTGATTGATTTTGATAGAATAAAATTGTTAATTTTTTACATCACATCATTTGTCTTTTAACATATTGATATAACATTTTCAGTTTCTGAAGGACTCTCAAGCTATGGAAATTACCAAATTTTGGTGGCTATTTTCTCGCTAATTTTGCATGTGCCTGTGAATGACAGTAATAGTTATATTGTATCATTGATTGTGTAGTGTAAAGCGCATAGAGCTTACTGTAGAGCAGTGTTACGTGTTATACAAATACTATTTTGTATTATTATTATTATTGTAACTGAACATGCGGTCACGTTTAAGTCTGTTTATTTCTGAAATAGCTTTTCTACTGCGTTCTTTCCGCAACTTATGCGCTATTGACTGGCAAATTTCCAGACTTTGTGGTCTCTTACACACAGTCCTCTCACCTTTTGGCACTCCTCAGGTGTGGAATCAGGTTCTAACTATTCGGGAGATTTAAGAGATGCTCAGAAGTCCATCCCGAGAGGTACACTCACTGCGGTGGCTGTCACGTCCACTATATGTATCCTTTATCCCAATGTTTGGGTACTGACTGTGATGTATTATAAAAATTTGTGCTGCTGCTAGATGGAAAATCAAGCGTATGTGAAGCATCGCAGTGAAATCAGGTGCTCGTCAAACTAATGAAATCAAAGACACTGGCATTTTTCTGGCCTAGGGCAATTTTTTTCTAATTTTCTTTCTTGTTTCAACACCTTTTATGTCCTTTTAAAAACACCTTTCTGTTTTTCTTTTATTGAAAAACGTTGATTAAATGCACAAACACTAAATTTTCAGTTTCCAAGGGCTCTCAAGATATGGAAATGACCAAACTTTGGTGGCTATCTATCTTCTTGCTAATTTTACCTCTGAAAGTAAGTGACCCTCACCTTCTTTAATAGCTAATATTGCAGCTTCTGTTTAACGTAGATTTATATTTTTCCACCAAAAGCATGGCAAAAGAACTTGCTTTAAGATGATACCAATATCCCTATATGCCCCAAAACTGACAAGGGCCTGATTCCATCACGTCGTGCCTCATATATTGATAAATATTCTGTAAGGGGGCTCTCGTGGTCTGGAGGTATGATGTATGCCTCTCATTCAAAAGTTCCAGGGTTCAGAATCTTACAACGCCCAACAAATTTCCCTGTCTAAATTTTTCTCCTAATTTCACTTTCTGGTTCTCTAGCCCTGTTCTGTCATCTGCTTTCATCTCCACTCTCAGAGTGTGGTAGATTTTCACCTTATGGAATCTAAGAGTGCAAACGATATCAATAAACACATCAGAAAAAGTTGTATTATTACAACTGTCTTCTTAAATTAACATGCAAAACTGTAATCTGAACTCGTGCAGTTCTCTTTGACCTCTCTGTTGAGATCTGTCTTCTGTTGTTTTGATGGGATCCTCTGTTGAAGGCAGTGTGCTGAGAGATAAGTAATGCTGACCTAAGCCTTTTCTGGCTGTTCCAGTTTCTTTGCAATATTTTATGTTTGCTTTGAAAGAATTTCATTTACAAACTTTTTTTGCTCAGTTTTCAACTTCCTAAATGTGTTTAATTGCTTTGTGAGCACTTTGTTATGCGGTCATTCTGTTTGATGTTGGACTGGAAGTTGATAGATCTAGTATTTTCTCCTTGCAAGTTGAATGTTATGTGTCGATAAAGATGGATTGAAGATAGGTTTGATTTCTGAGTGTTGTTTGTCACTTGAATTTCATTTAACTGTGACACAAGAACTGAAGTGCTTTTTGACAAAATAAAAATCTGTTGGATTGCAAAAGAGGTAAGAAAATGGAGAAGAAAAAAATACATTGACCACGCAAGATGCATTGACCCTGATTGAAGTTGCTCTGCAATACCCTAGGATGAGTGACAGCTTTTCTTTTTCTTCGCTGAGAACAAGTCATTCTCTTTATCCCTCTGATGTTTTACACATGGGAAGCCAATGATAGGAAAAACCTTGCAGCTTTTGTCTACAGCTATATGTTTTCTTTGTAAAGCAGTGTCTTTGCATAGTTTACTGTAATTATTTTTACACAATTCAGAAAAGCTATGAAAAGGGTCAAGATTTCAGGAGCCTTGTGACAAAACAATTAGATCATCTATGTCAGAAAAGTTAAATAGTTTTTGAAAAGCAGATTTTTGATAAACCATCTGTATTCTGTGAAAGACAAACCTGTACCATTGCAATATATGATCATTAGACACCTAATTCTGTTATGTGGTAGAATATTTTAAAGGAGTATAATTAACAGTTTCAGATGTGATTTTTTAAAATGGGGAAATAGGCAGAAATTTGATTATTTGAGATAATCCCCTTTTGTCACAAAAGCCTTTCCTTTTCAGACTTTTAAATGTGTTTAATTTTCTTCTTTCCTTTATATTTAAATTTATCTGAAATTTTTACGAGTATGTCTTCTCGTAATAGTGAAGATGCATACTAAGTTCTGCCTGACCAGTTCAAAAATGCGATCTCTTCTTTGATTTGTGGAGCTGGTTGATTTTCTTTTCTCATTGTGAATCCAGATTTGGTGACAGCATTGGTATTAGTGGTGATCTGCTTCTGTCTATAATGGCCTGGCCAACAAAGTGGGTGGTTTTGACCGGTGCATTGACAGCCACAGTGGGTGCCGGCATGCAGGCTCTGGCTGGTGAGCTGGCTGGGAAATTTGTTTGTAAAAGTTACTAAAGATACTGCCTATTTCATTGTCGTTGTTGTTTTTGTTGTTTTGTTTTTTTAAACTGTTCTTTCGTGTATAGTTAATGTATGGTTAATATAGTGTAAAGCGCATAGAGCCTGCTGCTGAGCGGGGATATGCACTATACAAATGCTATCTATTATTATTATTTATTATTATTATGGTTGTGAAAGTTCTATATGCGGTTGAACTGGTTTTTCTTGTTTCTGTGAAATATTTTTTCTTGTGTGAATGATTATGTGATTGGTGTAAATTAAAGCGCTCAGAGCTTATACTAGTATGGGATAGAGCGCTATATAAATGCAATCTATTGTTATTATTATTATTATCTTTTAAGTGAAGACTTGTGTTTTGCAGGGGGGTTGGGTTTTTTTGGAGGGGAGGAGGGTGGGAGCTGAGTGGGGGGCAGCTTTTAGGGAGTATTGGTGTTTTGATGGTTTTTAAAAAAGATATGTAAAAAAAATGCAGTTATCAAGCACAGATTTCACACTTTATGTACTAGCAAAACCTAATGGCAACATTGCCTAGATAAGGACCTTATTTGTATATGGTGTCTCCAATTAATAACTTTTTGTGAGTAATTTTAGACTCTAAAACTTTGAAAGAATTACTGTTCAACAAAAACTCTACATTATCTTTAGAACAGGTTTGCATAGCAGATTTACCATTACTTTCTCGTTACTATTTAACATTCTTTCCCCTTTCCTGTCTTCTTTTTCTTTGTTTGTTGTGTGCTTTTCTTGCTATTTATAAACCACAACATCTGTGGTGTAATAGTTACGCTCTTTGGCAGACTTCTTAAAAACCTGTGTTCAGTCCCGATATGGGATTGCCTGTTTTATTTTGCATATCAAACTTTATGTTCCATGTTTGATCTTACTCGTCAGCGCGGTTGGCCTCGACAGGCAGCGTTGAAGCAGGCCACCTCTTACCCTTCCAGCCCCATGCGTGTATATTTTCAGCAGTGCTTGTACCTCCCACCATCCCAAGAGCATATATTCTCAGTTTAGGGGGTACTGAATTTGCACATTTTTCGAATTTAGCAAACCTAATTAAACGTTAATTTTCACAATATTTGTTCGTTTACTTTTAAAGATTGTTATATGTTATTATCCAAACCTCATTACAAAGATACTACATCACTTTTTAGAATGCATGCCTCTTTTTCTGAAATACTGCTGTATTGGCTGGGACTGGGGTTAGTGGGTGCACAAAAATGGCTGGGGCTGGAAGGGTTAAATTATCATCTAATTAATCATTTCGGTTCGAAAAATGTTTTATATTTGTACACAGGCGCCCCGCGACTCCTACAAGCCATTGGTGAGGACCAGATCCTCCCTGCCTTGGGTTTCTTCTCTGTCAAATGGCATGGAGAGCCTATCCGTGGCCTGTTTATGACGTACCTCATTGCTGAGCTTGGCATTCTCATCGCTTTCCTGGACTACGTCGCCCCTATTGTCACCATGTTTTTTCTCATGTGTTATGGGTACGTTTTTGACTAACGGATTTAATTTCTGCCGGACAAGTGTAACTATTCAAATCTGAAATGACTTTGCCATGTTTTTGTTCCCTACTTTATTCTTGTTTCTGAATTTTGCCATTTATCAAAATTATATTCTAACATCATTTATTGATATTTTTTATGTAATTTCAAGCTGAGAGCAAATTTTTTACATGATTGAATGATGCCTCTGCTTTTACGTTTATTATTAATTATCTATTAGGAAACTAAATATCTTTTTAGTGATTGTGATTCTGGTATTTCTTTATTTACAATTTTAGGTGTTTGGTCTGCAAAATCTTCCAATTTTTCTCCAAATGTGACTATTTGATATAGAGCTGACAAAGTAAACAAGCCTAATAGCGAGTCTGAACAAATACAGTGTGAGGGAGGGGGGGGGGGGGGGGAGAGAGAGAGACAGAGAGAGGGAGACAGAGAGAGGGGGAGGGAGAGTTCAACTTCCTTCATGATCATTGAACGGAGCGGAGAGGGAGTGGAAGAATGATTATATATTAGGTTGCTGCCCCTTTATTTCTTCACAAGCCTTTCTTGGAAATCTGTGCAGGTTCATCAACTTTGCGGTGACTCTCCAGTCGCTGGTGGACACCCCTCACTGGCGACCGAGCTACCGCTGCTACCACTGGACCATCACACTGCTCGGCACGGCTCTCTGCGTCACGACCATGTTTGTCTGCGACTGGATTTACGCCCTCGTCGCCATTGTGCTGGCTTTTTTGCTCTATGAGTACATCGAGTACAAGGGGTAGGAGTTAGTCTTATTGGATTAGAGGAGAGTGTTGCAAGTGTTGGGGAATCGCATATTGTTAGAGCAATCTGTGAATTCAAATTTTGAGTTATTTCAGTTCGACTGGGTTTTTTTCAATCTTGTTTTGCTGCCTGAGAGTGTTCTCTCTCTCTCTCTCTCTCTCTCTCTCTCTCTCCCCCCCTCCCTCCCTCACACTCTTTCTTTTACTATTACTTTCTCTTTCTCACTCTCTCAAAATTTTAAGTTTAGTCTTGGCCCAAATCCCTTTCTAGCTTTATATGATGTCTTTCTTTCCTCAGGGCTGAGAAGGAATGGGGTGATGGCTGCACAGGCTTGTCCATGTCAGCGGCTATCTTTGCTCTCAACAAGTTGAACAAAGAATTCCATCACACGAAAAACTGGAGGTACTGTCATCAAATGAAGGAATGGAAGAAATGAGAGATTTCTTTTCATTTCTCCGGAAAAGGAAGGGTTCTCTTTTTTTTTTTTAATGGTAATTTAAAAACTCAGATTTTTCAACCAAGACAAAATTAAAAAAAAAAAAAAAAAAGAAAGTAAGAGAGAACAACGCAAACTGAAAATCATGTGTGTTACGGCGCGGTAGAATCAGGCACTCATCAGATTTTGGGCATGTGGAGTTATTAGTATATCATCTTAAGGCTTGTTCATTTGTCTTACTTTTGATGAAAAAAGCAGCCATCTATCTGGAATAGAAGTCGAGATATTTGCACTGATGGAGGTGGGGGTTGCTGTGATTTGTTGTTGTTGTTTTCAAATCCCTTTAGCTGCAAGCATTTCGCTCTTGGCTGCGAAATGCTTCCCTTTTATGAGTCAGAGGTAAAACTAGTGAGAAAATGATTGCCAAAGTCTGGTGACTTCCATAGCCTAAGAGTCCTTGAAAACTTAAAAAATGTACATTGTTGGGCCTTTCATAAACGTTTTTCTGCAAAATCCGCACAGAAATGTTTTGAAATGGACATAAAAGGCATTGAAGCAAAAATAAAAAACTCGATAAAAATTTCCCAACTAGTGGAAAAATACTGGTTCCCTCGATTTTGTTATTTTGACGAGCGCCTGATTTCATCCCGATGCCTCACATATGAGACAAATTTGACGGTGGTGGTTAACACTCATATCTATGGCTAATACTGTTCACAGCTTTTGTCTTGATTTCTCTAGCTTGACTTGGCTCAGATCATGCCTTGTTTTTCTGTTCAGAAATGAAACCCAGACTGACTTTCAGTATGATTGTAGAAGTTAGCTTAATCTCCAAACTAATCTACACAGGCCTAGGCCTATAGTGACCAAATTAATAATGTTTAAACAAATTACATGTGATACTAGTGTTGTAATTACTTTGATGATAAATAAAGTGTTCCAGTAGATTTTACAGAAATTTAAGGTGGTTTTTTTTAAAACTTCCTTTCAGGCCTCAGATCCTTGTGTTGCTTAAGATGGCAGATGTAGGTGACGATCTGACTCAGTTCTCTGTTGATGATTCTCGTCTTGTTATGCTGTCAAGCATGCTAAAAGAAGGTGATGTAAATAATTATAAATGATAATAAATAGCATTTGTATTGCGCATATCCCTGCTCAACAACAGGCTCTATGCGCTTTACACTATATTATTACCCCAGCAGACCATAGAACACTCAGAAACATTCTCAGCTTCCCGGGAAGCATACAGTGCAAGCAGCTGAATTATAAGCGCTCAAACACTAACAAACTGACAAGATCTTTTGCTGTCTATAGCCGGGTACCCATTCCCACCTTGGTGAAGTGAGGAAAATTCGTGTAAAGTGCCTTTCCCAAGGACTCAACGTCGGCCCCCTGACGGGATTCGAACCCACGACCTTATGGTTGCGAGTCCGAGAGCCTAACCACTAGGCCACGGACGCCCTGTAAACAGAGTTCTTATTTTTGAATACTCTTGCCTTTGAGAAATGGTAGGCTACTAGGTAAATGGCAATGAGGAGTAAGTATCTTGTCAGCAAATTATTTTGTTCAAAATGTAGTTGTTGTTGGGGTGTGTTCATTTTGCTTCTTGAGTAGGGATCTTCACAGGTCAGAGGATGGGTGGTTGGCTGGTGCTCTGGTGTGGTTTGCTTCTTCTTTTCTATGAAACATCTATCGTCCATATCTCCCCTTCTTCTTTTTTTTTGTTTGTTACTGTCTTGTAACACCTCTAATCTTCCGGCGTTCATACGACCTTATGCAGTTGCGAGTGCCATAAAACCTCTACTAAAACTAAACAGGTGAGAGTGGTGGCCAGTGCCACACACATTCAGCTACTGCCCTAAGATGTCAGGTCTTGTGGCATGACCACTTTGGATGCTCCTTCTCCATATATGAGGCAGCTTGGTGAAATCAGGCGCTCGTCAAAATAATTAAATGGGAGAAAATGGCATTTTTCTGCCAGTTTGGCAATTTTAATGGAATTTTTTTTTTTTGGCTTAACACCATTGTCGTCCAATTAAGAACACATTTTTGGGTGGATTTAACTGAAAGATGTTGATTGAGGGCACAAAAAATGTAAGTTTACAGTTTACATGGACTATCAAGCAATGGAAATAGCCAAACTTTGGCAGCCATTTTCTCGCTAATTCCACCTTTGAAACTAGGCGACCCCACCTTCTTCAATCTCAAATATCTTGACTTCTATTCAAGATAGATTGACATTTTTTAAACCGATAGCAAAACAAGTGAACAAGCTTTAAGATGATACCAATAACTCCACATGCCCAGAAATTGACGAGCGCCTGATTCCAGCACGTCGTCACATTTTTAAAAAAATTTGTTGTTGACTATTTGCACCATGGTGGACAGATGAAATTTGAGTCTGCCAGCAGTTTGAGCACTCAAGGCAAATTTATTTGTTTCTTAATCGTTTGATTGTAAAGGTGTGTTTATACATTTTTAATACTTTCGTTGACATCATTTAGTAAGTGGGCTGCTTTGCTTTGAACCTGCGCTGCCTGTCGGGGGCCAAGCTGGGCTGAGTGGGATATAGAATCTTAGCAGAAAGCCAAAAATACGTGATGAATTAGCTTCCCTATGTATGAATCAGACTTAAGGTCTCCTTCGTGCAGTTACAAAGTGTGTATTACATTACACAATGTTTTTTAAATGTTTTAAAAAAATTTTGTTTTGAATGGAACAGAGAACATGATATTTTGCCCTAAATAATATCCTTATTCCGATTGTGTTGTAAGAAGTGCTGACAACTTCTGTTGGCTTTTTTTTTTCTCAGGTCGAGGCCTCACTATGTATGGCACCGTGATAAAAGGCAAGCTGAGTGAGATGTCAAAAGAGCAGGAGGAGCTGAGGACGGTAGGCCTATGGTCGTTTACACTGACATAATAACATGAGAGGCTGACCCGTCATAGCGCTGTCTTGTTATGTACTTTCTACTGTGACGTGGATGGTCTCATTGCGATGTCTATTTTTACCAACGGAGATCTTTTGCTTCTCTCACAGCTTTTCTCAATGCCATTCCTCATTGTTATAATTTTTAAACAGTGCATGTGATTCTAGGGTCATAATTACTTTACTGGGATTATAAATTGTTGTTTTCTTTTGAGAGTTCATCATTTTTGTCTTTCCCAACTGTTTTTGTGGGTGCTTATGTTAATGCACATTACTTATTTTACCGTTGGTTGGTAGGCGCCTTAGTATGGTCTGCTTGGTCTACTTCTTTTCTGCAAACTATTTTCCTGACTTGTCTGTAGCTAAGCTTGGCCACTATCAGTCTGGCTCGCCCTAGTCAACACATCCACGTAAGCATATGTCTTTGCAAATAAAATTAATGGGCCTCTTTCTTTTGAGATCTTTTCCTTCTGCTTCCTCCTAGATCTGTGCTCTGTCATGTGATTCAGTGTTTATCATTCTGTCTCAATAAACAACGTGACACCAGCAAATTTTGTAATGTTGTTAGTATAAATCACTCTGCCTACAGTCACTAAGTGGGTGGTTGGCGGGTGCTCTGGTGTGGTTTGCTCCTTTTTTCCTATCAAACATCTATCGTCCTTATCTCTCCTCCTTCTTTTTTGTGTTTGTTACTCTCTTGTAGCACCTCTAATCTTCAGCTTTTATATGAACCTTATTGAGTTGCAAGTGCCGTAAAACCTCTACTAAAACTAACTAAATGGCGTGACTTCAGCAAATTTTGTAATGTTGGTAGTATAAAGCACTCTGCCCACACTCACTAAAATGAGGAACATTAATGCTACTTAAATTGATATTTGTTCTCTTGAGTGTGTACTTTGAAACTGAGTGCTGTTTTCTAACACAATATTACTGCTTAGAGTGGGCCCCCTTGGTTCGGGTCCTGTCGTTCAAAGTGAGTTATTTGTGGGTGGTTGGCGGGTGCTCTGGTGTGGTTTGCTTCTTCTTTCCTATCAAACGTATACCATCCTTATCTCCCCTTTAATGTTTGTTACTCTCTTGTAACACCTCTAATCTTCTGGCGCTCATATGACTGTATGCTGATGCTGTTGCGAGTGCCGTAAAACACTTACTTAAACTAAAACTAACACAATCTTACTCCTTAAAGTGGACCCCCTTGGTTCTGATCCTGTCGTCCAAAGTGAGTTTATTTTTTTGTTCTACTTTTCACTTGGCATCGCTTTATTTGTCCTCAGAGAATAAGTGAATGCTTGAGCAATTCTGGAGTGAAAGGTTTTGTAGAGGTAGTGATCAACCCTTCTGTCACCGATGGTATGAGCTGTATGTAAGTAACATTGATAAGCTGATGGCCTGCTTGTGGGTGGTTGGCGGGTGCTCTGGTGTGGTTTGCTTCTTCTTTGCTATCAAACATCTATTGTCTTTTATCTCCCCTTCTTCTTTTTTTGTGTTTGTTACTCGATCCTTGTAACATCTCTAATCTTCGGCACAAATTCAAATTCCAAACATTGAAAACAGCAAGAAAAGATCAGATACATGATGTAAGTACTATTGTTAAAAGAATGAAGCAAGGTTTTTTTCTCTCTCTCCTTAAAAAGTTTGCTTATTGCGGGGTCAGAACGTTTAAACCGTGGCGTCGGTGGCCTAGTGGTTAGGCTCTCGGACTCGCAACCGTAAGGTCATGGGTTCGAATCCCGTCAGGGACCCGATGTTGTGTCCTTGGGAAAGGCACTTTACACGAATTTTCCTCACTTCACCCAGGTGGGAATGGGTACCCGGCTATAGACAGCGAAAGATCTTGTCAGTTTGTTAGTGTTTGAGCGCTTAATCAGCTGCTTGCACTGTATGCTTCCCGGGAAGCTGAGAATGTTTCGGAGTGTTCTATGGTCTGCTGGGGTAATAATATAGTGTAAAGCGCATAGAGCCTGCTGTTGAGCGGGGATATGCGCTATACAAATGCTATCTATTATTATTATTATTATTATTATTATTACTTATATGACTTTATTGTGTTGCAAGTGCTGTAAAACTCTTACTAAAACTGAACTGATTGCCTGCTTGTGGAGGTGACTTATTCTCTCTGAGCAGCTGTAACCAAGAATATTTATTTTGTTTGGTTTATTTGTGTGGGGTTTTTTTTACATTAGTGTTGAACAGGGTTTTATTACGGCTGTTGGAATTACAATCAAGGAAGAGAGTTCACTGTGTAGAATTTTTTGTGATTTCTACCAAAAATGCAGGTGTATGATGTATATTTTAGTGATTTCCCATTTAAGGGAAGATGAATTGGGGCAAAGGAGATAAAGGCCTGATACTTATTTTGTGATGAATTTCACTAGATTTCAGTGTGTAATCAAGACCTGATTCATGCAAGAATTTCGTTGTTTATTTCCTGCCAGGATTCAGTCGGCTGGACTGGGAGCGTTGAGACCAAACACCATCATCCTTGGGTGGCCACACGACTGGATAGAGAAGAGGAGCCTGACCTCTTATCAGATTTTTCTTGGTACGTCGGGAGCTTTACGTATATTCTCCAGATATTGTAAAGCTTATTCTGCACATCAAAGGCTGTTCATGGGTCACTCAAGTTATGTCACAGTCAGGATATTGGTTACCTCTTTATCTCCGAAGGAGGGAAGCCCACTATGTCGGGGCCCTTTTTTTGGTACTAAATCTAAAAATGACAAAAACGTCACTGAATTGGGCATTACATCGAAACACGTGAACCTATTTCGATAGTTCTTCATCTAATGAATGAATTCCCGATAAAAGAGTCCTGTTTTCAGCAATTGCCGAAAATTAATTTGATGTCGATGTCGTCATAAAGGAATGTGCCCAAGCTAATGCCAGCGGCTCACCGGCACAGTGGTTTTGACCACGAACCGCGAGAAGCGGCTTGCTGGAGATACAGAATTAAGGCTGTGAGGTCCTTTCATTTAGTCTGACAAAAGAATAAGTTACTTGTCCGACAAAAGTGTGTCAGGACATAAAAATTTTGTAGAACAGCCAGCAGTTTTGATAGAAATGCCCTTTTTTTTTCTAAACCAAATTCTTAAATAGAAAGCCCTTGCCCCCCACCCAAGAAAAATCTCTCTTTTCCCTAAGCTGCAGTCGAACATATATATTCTACTGTACAAATCCGTATGTTGATGGCTGTCATTTTGTTGTTGGTAATTATTTTGTAATAGACATTTAAATATTATAGACCAATATGTTTGTCGTACTTGTATTACTTCAGTATGGCTTTAAATATTTTCTTGTTTGTTTTTGTTCATAACGTGCACACTACTTGAAATGTACATTACCAATTGTTTTGGCATCAAGCTGTGAATATTAATCATCCTTTTTTTGGCCCTAAAAGAAGTTGTACTTTATGTTTTTGCTATTTCAAAAATCAATTTCTATGCTCTGTGATATTATTTCAGAAACCATGCGCAATGTAGCGCTGACAAAAAATGCGACCATCATTCTGAAGGCGTGTAGTTTCCCCAGTCATCTTGCTCGCATGTCTGGAACTATTGATGTGTGGTGGGTCGTCAATATCCTTTACCCATATGTGATGCTCTCTCTATGGGACATATCAAGTGGCCACTTTTAAATTAGATTTTCTGAAGGGCTTATTTGTTAAATGTGAGGGAGGGAGAGAAGATGAAATGGGAAACATGTCCATTGGCCACTTTAAAATTAGATTGTGTAAGGAGCTTGTTAGTTAAATGTGAGGGAGGGAGAGAAGATGAAATGGGAAACAAAAGGAGAGGAGGACACAAAGGAAAGTGAAACCCTTTGCCAAATGGTTAGAGAAAAGAAGACAAAGGAAATGTGAGACTTTTACCTCTGAGCCTTGATGCTCTCTATGTATTGTTCTACACTTGACAGGTTATTTCTTAGCCCCCTCCCCTCCCCTCCCCTCCCCTAAACAAAGGGAAAATATCTCACCCAGAGGCAAGTCATATTCTACACAATGTAAACAGTGGTGGTTACTTGTTCAATACTCCACCTTCATTACTACTAAGTAGTTTGCAATAGACTCTCAAACTCTATACAAAATGCATAAAATGTAACGAATAGTAATAGTATTGTTTGTGGCAAGAACTTGCCTTTTACATTAGCGAATACGGATATGTATATATATAAGAATATGGTACCGGCAGGCATGCAATGTTTATTTTCCTGGGAGTGATTTCAAACTTTTTCTGCTGTGATACTTCATTTTGACCCCTGAGTGTCAGAAAGGACAAAAGTTCCGTTGCTTTGTTTAATCACTATTGAATTAATTACATTTCTGCTAATTAATATCTAGCCATTTGGTACTGCTGGAGCAGAACAGTTTCCTTGACTGCTGGCTTCAGATGATGGAGGGATGCTTCTTCTCCTCGCCCACTTGCTGCGACGTAGCAAAACTTGGGGGAAATGCAAGCTGCGCCTTTTCTCTGTGGCCCGTATCCTTGCTTTTCATTCTGACCCTATATACACTTTTTATCACAGGGTAACATTTTTAAACAATGTAAATATGATTTTGTTGTCCTGGAGTTTAGGAGGAAAGAAGAGATTAGGTCATCCTTGGTACTCAGTGTGCACTGTTTCAAGGCTGCCTTAGTACAAATAAGGGGAAGGCTACTTCCTGATATCAGCTGGCTGGCAGAGGTCCTCTCTTGAATAAAGAAGTACGGAATATTTGTAAAGATTAATTGTAAGTGACTGATGACTGATTCTTACTACTATTATCTTTAAGCACCTAAAAGAAAAAAAGCAAGAAATATGAAGTAACAGTTTCAAAGTTATGACAGATGGTGCACCCACCAACAATTGCCTGCATGTTTTAGTTCACCTTAACTCTGACCATCAGAGGAGGAAGACAATACCGTTCAAATCAAAAAGGACCTGAAGACGTACCTGTACGAGCTGCGGGTGGAGGGCACAGTGGAAGTGGTTGAGATGGTAGGGTAATGATGTCGTGGTTGAGTTGGTAGGGTAATGATGTCGTGGTTGAGGTGGTAGGGTAATGATGTCATGGTTGAGATGGTAGGGTAATGATGTAATGGTTGAGATGGTAGGGTAATGATGTGAGATGGTAAGGTAATGATGTCATGGTTGAGATGGTAGGGTAATGATGTCGTGGTTGAGATGGTAGGGTAATGATGTCATGGTTGAGATGGTAGGGTAATGATGTCATAGTTGAGATGGTAGGGTAATGATGTCATGGTTGAGATGATAGGGTAATGATGTCGTGGTTGTTGTCTTCCTAGAGGAATGTGAGACATTGTGAAATCAGGTGCTCGTCAAAATAATGGAAATCAAAGAAACCGACATTTTGTCCTGGCCGTTGGCCTTTTTTTTTTCTTTTTTTTTTGAGAATTTTCTTTTTTTAGGTTTATGGCCATTTACAAACATTTATGTACAGATTTTACTTTTTTTTTAAACGTTGGTCGAAGCCACTAAAAATTAAAAATTTGCAGTTTCCAAAGACATTCAATCGTTTGAAGTTGCCAAACTTTGGCGTCCGTTTTCTCACTAGTTTAACCTCCGAAACCATGTGACCCCTACCTCTTTCAATTGAAAATATCTCGACTTCTATTCAAGATAGATGCATAATTTTTTTCATTGAAAGCGAGACAAATGGACAAGCAATAGCTCCACAAGCCCCAACATTGATGAGCACCTGATTCCACCACTTTTTGACTCCTGATTTCACCACAACGCCTCACATATTATTTTGAAAGAGGTGTCAAGGTTCTGAAGATCTTTTGCTCTTTTGAGCCTATAGCTGTAGCGTTCCTCTTTTTGATGCCATTTTCCTATTCCCATTTGTGTCTTATGTGTCATGACGTGGTGGAATTATGCACTCGTTAATTTTCGGGCACGTGCAGTTAGAGGTATCTTTCTTAATGAAACTTGTTCATTTGTCTTGCTTTCAGTGAAAAAAGGACATTAAAGATGTTGAGCCAAAAAATGAAAATTCGAGAAAACACTGTCCATAACATGCCATTTTCTTTGATTTGTGAGGCAGCGTGGTGGAATCATGCTCTCGTCAATTTTTGGGCATATAGAGCTATTGGTATCATCTTAAAGCTTGTTCACATGTGTTTATTAGGATGAAAAAAACATCCATTTATCTTGAATACAAGTCAAGATATTTGCAAAAGAAGGATGTGAGGGTCACCTTTTTTTAGAGGTAAAATTAGTGAGAAAATCGCCGCCAAAGATTAGTTATTTCCTTATCTTAAGAGTCCGTGGTAACTGAAAATTTACATTTTTTGTACCTTTAATCAACGTTTTTCAGAAAAATCCAAACAGAAATGAGTTCTTTAATGGGAATGAAAGGTGTTGAGCCAAAAAACAAAACTTTGATAAAAATTCACAAACCTTCGGAAAAATGCAAGTTTCTTCACTTTGATTATTTTGACGAGAGCCTGATTCCACCATGCTGCCTCACATTTCATTATTTAGAAGAATGCATGATTTCATCACGATGCTTCACATTATAAATTATTAGTAGAGATGTCAAGCAAGATTCTCAAGATCTTTTGCCCTTTTGAGCCTAGCTGTTGCGTTTTCATTAAACATTTTAATATAATTTTACCAATTTCTCTTTGTTCATGGCTCTGTAGGCAGCTGATGACATGTCGGCGTACGTCTATGAGAGGACTCTGAAGATGGAGCAGAGGACTCGAATGTTACAAAGCTTGATAAGGAAAAAAGTGAGTACCAGTATCAAAACTTTTCTGATTTATTGTCTGGGAAAATTGGCAGTTTTTTTCATCCCTTGGTAGTTCCACGAAGATTGGCATAAGATTTAGTAAATTAACCAAGAGGTCTTTTAATGAAGATTGTGATTCAATTTAGGTTCATCTAGAAAGTTATTAACTTTTTTTTTAAAAGATCCCTTTTCATGATCAAACATTTTCTTTTCCAAGGAAGCATGTCCTTTCAGAGAATATCCCAGATGACATCCTCTCTTGAAACTGTTTTTCTCTCTGCTGTATATTCAGCCCCCTCCTTCTTGTCTTCTGTTGCTCAACGTTTTCTTGACATTTTCTTTTTGGGTCTGTGAGTGGTTGGCAGGTGCCCTGCGTGGTTTGGTCCTTCTTTCCAATCAACTATCTATCGTCCTTATCTCTCCTTCTTTTGTCTGTATGTTACTCTCTTGCAACACCTCTAATCTTGGGCACTTATCATCATCATCCAATGCCAGATCTACGACAGACATCGGCGATCATGGTTCTCCACTCATTCCTTTGCTCGGATGCTCTCAAAAAAGCTATGTTTCCCTGATCTTTCCCTGTTACCCATTTGTTTAGGTTCCCTAAGTATGTTGTTCTGGGCCTACCCCTGCCTCATTTGCCCTCAATTTTGCCAGTGAGAGCTAGATGTTCAAGACCCTTATGTCTATTCAAGTGTCCCAAAAACTGCATTTGTCGTTTCCTGATTGTTTTTAACATTGAGCATCCCACATATAATTGCATGTGCCATAAAACTCTTACTAAACAGCTTTTTGGGTCTCCTCTGCCATGTTTTCCTGGAAATTTTCCTTTTCAGAATTGCTGTACCTCTGTATCTGACATACAATACAAGCAATATTTGCCCCCCACCTGGGCAGTGCTACTGACTGAAGTTGTCTTTAGGCCATTCCCAAAAGCGAGATAATAACACTCTTGTATGCACAGTAGAATTGTAAATGGGCTGATTTATCAATGTCATGCTCCTACAGTGCCGAAGCAACAGGGGAAACTGCTGCTTTTTTCCCCTCGTCCTTACTATCGTCAGTTGTCCTCTCCTTTTGTATGTTTGTCAGTCTCTTGTGAACTGCTATTTCTGGTGTGCCTTGATAGTCGAAGCAGACTTTGTGCTGTTGAGGCAAGAGAGGCGAGCAGAGTAAGCCTGATTCCCCGTTTGGACTTCTCTGTTGACGTCCACCCCTTGGTGCTCATGACTTTATGTTGCGAGTGCCGTTAAAAAACGAAAAGCTATATTTTGTTCCCGATATTACCTATATTGTTGCTGTATAAATTAAAAAGTGTGCCATGAGTAAGAAATACGTCTTTCCTGTCTCTTTGTATCCTTTGTCTGTTATCTTGCTGTTTCTTGTTACCACATGATCTTTGCACCAATAAGGAAAGAAAGATGAAATAAGAGAAAAAAAGAGGTGAAATACAGTAGAAAATATTTCTCGTCTTCTGTTGGCTGTAAAACTTGATGATTTCTCTTTATTTTCTCTTTTTATTCTTTAGACGAGTATTGTGCCAGTACCATTGGGCTCACAGAGAAAGATTTTGGTGAGTTGTTAGAGAAATCTTAGAATTATAAGGGATGTACCTAGTTGTTGTTTATTAAGTATAGTTATTGAAATGTCGACAGCTTTTAAAATGGACTGGGTATATATTCCACTCCCTTTAACATACTGAATTCAAAACTCAAATTTGAAAATCTTATTCTTTCTTCATAACATCTCATGACACTGATCAAAATAATCAACCATCCGTATGTTTCCATAAAAAGTGTAATTGGTCATCGTTTTGTTTTTTGCTGATTGCAACATGGAATTCTCCTCATTATTATTATACTTGTTTTTTAGTAAGTGTTTTACGGCGCTCGCAACTGCGTATGGTCATATGAGCGTGTGGGACACATTAAACACTTTCAGTTGCAAGGAAATTTTGAGTTTAGCCCGGGTGGTGGACGAAGCCTATTATTGTACAATATAAGGGAGTGCAGATAATGTGTAGAATGAGTCTTACCCAATTTATTTTGTATAAGTTTTAATGTTTTCATAACCACTGGTGTCACTAATTGGTGGAAAATAAACTTTAAAAAAATATATTTCCCATCTCTGATGAGATAACTTCCATGTTTATTTTTCTAATGGCCAAACTGCCACTGTGTATGAATATCAAAAGAATGTCCATGAACTTGAGAAAGATACAAAGTTAAGAGTAGGTTTGGCTGCATTTTTTTTTTTTTTTTCTTTTAATCTCAATGAACATTTCACTGAATTTCTTGATAGTAGGCCTATAATTCAGTGTGCTGAATGAAGGATATGTACAACTTTTTTTAATCTAAAGAAAAGAAGTCAGTCTCTAAGAAATATAAAGAAAATAAAAGCATCTTCAACTTTTATTTGTTTGTAACTTTACTAGTAATAAGGTGTTTCCATCTTCCACTCGTAAAACTACCACTGAATTTTGAGAATGAAAACATTTACCCACAAGGTTATGGAATGTTTTCTTCAGGAATTTAATTCTATGCTTGTATTTGTTTCTTTCTTGCTCATAATAACTACAATTTTAGAAACTGTAATTAGGATATTCAATGAGAGTTTTTAAAAATTTATATAGAAATGTTTAATTTTTTTACAGGAAAAAAAAGAAGTGCAGTCTGTTCTTGAAAATGCTCGCAGTGCTTTTGACTTTGGTAAGCGCAAGGAAGATTTCTCATCACAAACTGATATGATCAGCTCCCCACAGAAAGCACCTCCCAGGTACTGATTACAGGGATGAAGGGGGGAGGGGGGGGGGGTTGATTTTGTCCTCGTGAGTGATATGACAAGATGTACTTCCTCAGAAATGACACAGCCTTGGAGTGTTCTCCACTAGACACTGTCTCGCCAGGGAAATTTGCTGTGGTCTCTGAATCTGTCCCCGTGGTTTTATGCACCCCGCATAATTTAGCAAAATCTGATCATTTTTTGCATAATTTCTGATTCTTTTCCTTAATCATTCTTTGTTAAAATTAACAGAATCGCATAATTTGACACTTTTGGGCTCAGTTTGCATATTTTCAGAATTTTTTTTTTCATAAAACGACGAGGACAGCTGAATTCCTGAGAAAAGAAATCATGTCTTTTTTGTTGTAGCTTAAAAAGGCACACAATGTAAATGTTCCACAGAATGTAGAAGTTATGGTGATCTCCAAGCTCCGGAGACTTCTGTTCTAGTGAAGTGTAGTAAAAATACAATGGGATAGGGACTAGTTCCTGCATTTAGCTGTGAAACAGTTTTTCTTTTTCTTTTTTCTTTTGTTCATGGTATTTTCTAGTCTTAAGAAAAAAAAGGATAGAAATGACAACAGAAAAAGGAGAGTGAGTGATGGGAGGTGGTGGATTGAGAGAAGGCCGTGAATAAGACAGAGGGTCAGAAAGTTTGGATGTATTATTATTTGGTCATAAAATGTTATTTGACATAGTAATAAATAGCATTTGTATAGCGCATATCCCCGCTCAACAGCTGGCTCTATGCGCTTTACACTATATTATTATTACCCCAGCAGACCATAGAATACTCCGAAACATTCTCAGCTTCCCGGGAAGCATACAGTGCAAGCAGCTGATTAAGCGCTCAAACACTAACAAACTGACAAGATCTTTCGCTGTCTATAGCCGGGTACCCATTCCCACCTGGGTGAAGTGAGGAAAATTCGTGTAAAGTGCCTTTCCCAAGGACACAACGTCGGGCCCCTGACGGGATTCGAACCCATGACCTTACGGTTGCGAGTCCGAGAGCCTAACCACTAGGCCACCAACGCCACATAGTATTATGCCCTATATGAACAATCCAATGCTGTTTCCAGGTTTTTCCTCTTGCTTGATTGCTCAAGCTTTTTCAAGTTTTGTGGACTTCTAGAACAAATGGAAAGAGTACTCTGTACATTAATAAATTTTTCCTTATGTAGTTTTTGTCTAGGAACCATGAAGAATATCACGGAGGAAGGGGGGGAGGGGAAGGGGTTGTGATTATCTAATAAAGTAACTGAATATTACTCCGTTACCTCACCTGTTGCTGCCAATTTGTTTTTTTTACTGATAGGTAACTTGGCTAAGGTGTTCAAAATCTTTGGTCCGAAGGGAGTACGTTTAGTGACATCTTATTTTATTTTTCCAATACTCACTTCTGCACTTCAGCACACATATAATATACAGCATACACACTCTGAGCAAAAGAGGCTTTAAAATTCAACACAATTTCCACTGTTTGTTATGTATGTTTGTAATTTTTAGAAAGACCATTAAAATATTTATGACTTGGTTTGAGGCTTTCGTTACTTTTGACTTATTGAAAGAGAAATAGTCACTCTTCTTCTACTGTTACAACCCCTCTCACTCTTCCACTACTGTTACAACCCCTCTCACTCTTCCACTACTGTTACAACCCCTCTCACTCTTCCACTACTGTTACAACCCCTCTCACTCTTCCACTACTGTTACAACCCCTCTCACTCTTCCACTACTGTTACAACCCCTCTCACTTTTCCCCTTCTTCACCACCCTTAGGATTAGCTGTTGCTTTGATTTATCAAGTCAAGTGCACACTTGCCAACTGTCCCGGATTTAGCAATCGAGAATTTGACTGTGATGTTATAACTCGTGGTGTCCCTGATTGTGTTTTGTGAAAGTTGGGAAGTCGGTGGTTTGCAGGTGCTCTGGTGTGGTCTGCTCCTTCATTTCTATCAAACGTCTATCGTCTTTGTCTCTCCTCCTTCTTTTTTGTGTTTGTTACTCTCTTGTGACTCCTCTAATCTTCGGCACTTATATGACCTTATTCTGTTGCAAGGGCTATAAAACTTTAACTAAAACTAAAAGTTGGCAAGCCTGAAAATATATTAATTATCTACTATCACGTTTTATTGCAGCTCAGAGAACTTGAGGCACATGAACACAGCCATTGGGCTGAACAAGTTGATCAAGGAGAGGTCCAGTCAGGCAGATCTGGTGATCCTCAACCTGCCATGTGTGCCTGAGAGCTCCAAAGGACAGGCCAATTGTATCCTTTTTGATATTTGACATGAAGATCTATACATATATGGAGAAAGAAAGCTGAATGTTGTAGTTGTGCTTAATACTTTGCCATCATATTTTGGAGAAAATCCAAAGAAACTGGGTGGTAGTGGTAAGCATCGCCAATCGGCGAGATGAGGCGGCAAAGTGTTACGCTTTTCATCTGTATTAAAATGTCATTATGAATGGTAAAATCCTTACAACACCGAGTTCTTTTTAAAAAAATGTAATATTTGTGAGGCAGCGTGCTGGAATCAGGCTGTCGTCAAAATAATCAAAATGAAGAAACTTGCATTTTTCGGCAGGTTTGTGAATTTTTATTAAATTTTTCTTTTTTGGCTTAACACCTTTCATGCCCATTAAAGAACTAATTTCTGAGTGGATTTTTCTGAAAAACGTTGATTAAATGCACAGAGAATGTCTGTTACTATGGACTCTTAAGCTAAGGAAATAACTAACCTTTGGTGTCCATTTTCTCACTAATTTTACTTCTGAAAACAGGTGACCCCCACCTCCTTCTTTCGTAAATATCTCGATTTGTCTTCAAGTTAAATGGATACTTTTTTCATCCAAGTAAAGACAAGTGAACAAGCTTTAAGATGACACCAATGACTCGGCATGCCCAAAAATTGACGAGAGCCTGATTCCACCATGCTGCTTCACATTTAATTTGTGAAACTTGATACAATTTTGTCGCCACCCGGTGGGAGCAGGATTCATCAATTTTGGGCAAATGAAGTTACTGGTATCGTCTTAAAACTTGGTTCATTTGTCTTGCTTTTGATAGGAAATAATCCATCTATCTTGGATTTGCAATTGAAAGAGGTTGAGTGGTGTTACACAGGGAAAAAAAGAGAGAAAATGGCTGCAAATGTTTAGTTTCTTCCCTTAAGAGCCTTTTGAAATACGAATGTACATGTTTTGAGCTTATAATCAACTTTTTTTTGTAAAATCTGCTCCCAGATGTGTTTATAAATGGACATTTAATTTGTTGAGACCAAAACAAAAATTTGATAAAAATTGCCCAACGAATGGAAAAATGTTTGTTTCTCCAATTTCAATATTTTGATGAGAGCCTAATTTCCCCATAATGCCACACATTTACTTGTAGAACAACTGCATGTGTCAGAATTGTCTATAGTGTCACCAAAACTCTGGAATTTTTAAAAAATCATGTATAAAATAGGGCTCTTTTTCTTATCATCATAAAGAAGTGATGTACTGATGTACAATAACATAGTAGCAGGGCCGTCGAGAGCCTTGTCGGGCCCTGGGGCAGCGATCACCTTCGGGCCCCTCCTCCCCGCGGTCTCACCCACCCTCACATGCAATTTAATAACCCAACATAAGACATAGGCATATATAATCACTTCACTGTAGCATATCTATTACATACCAACATACGCTCTCTCTCTCTTTCTCTCTCTCTCTCTTTCTCTCTTTCTCTCTCTTTTTTCTCTCTCTTTTCCCCTTGCTTGCGGGCCCCCCAAACCCCCGGGCCCCGGGGCATTGGCCCCCCCTGACCCCCCCTCTCGACAGGCCTACATAGTTGTTGCAGTGCAGACCTTGCTTTTCGGCTATGGTTAGTGTGTCTTGCCTATGTCTAGTACTCCTCCGTGACTAGCCAACTCTTTGCCACCGCTTGCAGAAGAAACGAGTTCAATTCTTGAAACTGGCTGGTTGGCAGGTGTTCTGGTGTGGTATTCTTCTTCTTTCCTATCAAACATCTATAGTCTTTATCTCCTCTCCTTCTTTTTTGTGTTTGTTACTCCCTTGTAACATCTCTAATCTTTGGCACTTATATACCAACTGCTCACAGGCATAGCAGTTCCGACAACAAGCCGCTGAGAAGGGCTTGCCGGAAATAAGGAGTTAACCCTGTCCGTATGTCGTGTTTTACTATCGTATCCATACGACGTGGGGAACTCTGTGCCACCACTTTCCAAAAAGGAAATTTACTCGTTAATCCGATCCGTACGCTTTGCATAGCGCTCTGTCAAAATGATGTTTTGAGAAATACAGAAAATTTCAAATAGATCTTCGTACTAGAAATATTCTAACATGTGAAGAATACAACCCTGGGGGTACAAAATGACTCCAGGGCGTACGGATAGGGTTAATGATCTAAATTGTTTTGAATGGGACGTAAAGCACAAAATGATTATAGTTTTTAGAACCACTTGAATTTTTTTTTCTTCCTTGACACATTTGACAAGACATGTCTTTTCTAGAAGTCCTCACTGAAAGCATAGAGCGCATTCTGCTGGTGCGAGGCACAGGAAATGAGGTCATCACTGCCTTCAACTAACGATGTGATCCCTCCAGGGCAGTGCCTCTGACTGTAGTGTCTTTAGGTCATTCCCAAATAGGGGACATTTCTCGTTCAAGCACAGTAGAATTGTAAATGGGCTGATTCATGTCACGCTCACAACTGTGCCTGATCTACAACAGGGAACTGCTGCTTTTTCTTTCCTAATCCTTACTATAGTCGTTTTCCTCTACTTCTTTTGTATGTTTGTCACTCTCTTGTGACCTGCTATTTCCGGGGTGCCTTGATAGTCGAAGCAGATCTTGTGCTGTTGAAGCTAGAGAGGTGAGCAGAGTAAGTCTGATTCCCTGTAAAGACTTCTCTGTTGACACCCACCCCTTGGCGCTCATGTGACCTTATGCAGTTGCGAGCGCCGTAAAACCCTGTACTATAATAATAATAATAATAACGATGTGGCCAGTGACAACTGAGAGTACATTCCGTTGAAATCTGCTTCATGTTGCACTGTTTTAAACATGAGAGGAGGGTATTGATGTATTCTTACTCAGGTTACTCACTTGACACTTGAGGCACCTGCACATCTCCATGCTGTGATGAGATGAAAGTGGTGGTTGGCAGGTGCTCTGGTGTGGTTTGCTTCTTCTTTCCTATCAAACATCTAGCGTCCTTATCTCCCTCTTCTTAAATATGTTTGTTACTCTCTTTTGTAACACCTCTAATCTTCTGGTGCTCATATGAACTTGTGCAGTTGTGAGCACCGTAAAACCTCTACTAAAAGAACTAAAGAAGAGATTAAATATTTGGCAGGTTCTTTCATTTCCCTTAACATTGAACATTTTTGCGAAATTATTTGTTTTGTTTGTGGTCTGTAAAGATAAATGAATGAAGAGATGCATAATTTTAAATGTCTCCAGTTGTTCTGAACTTATTTTAACTCTATAAATGCTGTGAAGACAAAAACTGTTTTGGTGGGTGGGTGGCGGGTGTTGTAATGTGGTTTGCAATCTTATGATCATCTTATCTTAGCTTGTGCACATTGAAGTCTGGTCCAGCAGTTGACCTAGCCTAGTACACACTTCTGGGGTCTTCACTCTCTGTGGGGCCACAGGTGAGTCGCCTCGATCTCATGCAAGAAAGATGGCTTTTCATGCATTTTGTGAATGAAGGGGCTAAAATTTACTTTTATCTTTGAACACCTAGAAACAAGCTCAAGGCCCAGGATAAATAGTTTCTTCATTTGAGATTCGAAGGTTTATGAAAATGACATTATTAATTTCACCTTGTCTTTTTGTCCTAACTGACACTTCCCCCTTTACAGATTACTATAGTGCATGCTTGACTATGCCGGGTTTTCAGCTTTCATTTATGAATGTCTTCTTCACTTGAGTCAAGTCTTGGCATTTACCAGAGCTTCCGGCAATTAGACTTTGCACAATTGCATGACTCCTCAACAGATGCCTTTTTAAAAAAAAAACAATTTAGAAAGGTGTAAATCCTGACATTGATTTTTCTTCTTTTATATTTTTTTTGTTCTGTCTGGGATACTACATTCTGTTTGTCATGTTTGTTGTCCCAAAATAACTTGCCCTAGTAGAACTATTGAAGAGTAAAAAGAAGGATCCTCGGCAACATTTTGGAGAGAGCAACGGAGCATCAATGGACATGTCTGGAGTGCACGGATGTTGCTTCCTGAAACAACAAGAGCAAGAGTAAAAAGAAAAGCCTGCTTAGTAAATTGTGATAGAAGTTTTTGATTTCAGACTATTCCTCAAGGTTGCTCAAATGAAACAAAAAGAGCTGAATATGTTTATAAGGTGCATGGATATAATTCTGCAAAAGCTTGCAAATTTCGTATATCATGATTTTTAAAAAAATGTTATGGGGAAAAATGTTATGTTATAATATGAACTTGCTTTCATGGGATATGTGCTGTCTGAGATGTTTCTGTCCACAACCATTGGTTTTTAAATCCGTCAATTTTCAGGGTTTTGGATTGTTTTGTTTTTTGTTTTGTTTGGTTTTTAAAGAAAATGGTGACAATGTTAATCTCAGATTACTAATCTATGCATTATAATTGGTAATTTAAAAAAGTAAAACCTTAAAAAATCTTTTTGGTAAGCTAGAATGTTTGCTGCCTGTTTTGTTTTTTTCTCCTTTTTTTCTTTTGAATTAAGTTGTTTTACTTCTCATTTATCATTAAAATTTATTTGATATTTCAGCACTGTCTTTGTGTGTGATTTCGTGAAATGGACATTTGTATATTTTTCTGTTGAAGTGTTTCTGTTGTCTGCTGTGTCTCCTACCTTGGTAAGTTGTTGTAATTATCTGCAGAATATGGTGTGATTTCCTTACTTCTTTCCGCGGGTGGTTGGTGGGTGCTCTGATGTGGTTTGCTCCTTCTTTCCTATAAAAATCTATTGTCTCTATCTCCTTTCCTTCTTTTTTATGTTTGTTTCTCTCTTGTAACACCTCTTATCTTCTGGCGCTCATTTGACCTTAAATGCAGTTGCGAGCGCCGTAAAACCTCACTAAAACTAAAATCTTCGGCACTTATATGACCTTTTTGTGTTTCAAGTGCTGTAAAAGTCTTACTAAAACTTTAAAAAAACTGAGTTCTTTCCCATTACGGGGGGGGGGGGTTGGTTTAGTAATAATGAATATCATTTGTATAGCATAGCCCCACTCGATAGCAAGCTCTGTGCACTTTACATAATACTGTTACAACACCATAACACTCGGATACATTCTCAGCTTCCTGGAAGCCTACGGGACAGCGTATGATAAAGCGCTCAAACACTAACAGACTGACAAGATCTTTCGCTGTCTATAGTCAGGTACCAATTCCCCACGAGAGTAAAGTGAGGAAAATTTAAGTAAAATTCCTTTCCCAAGGACACAACAAGGGGCCCCTGACAGCACTCGACCCCACGACCTTACTGTCCGTCTATTTCTGTAATATTGTGTCAGATTTACCCAGTTTGACGCTTTTACATAAAGTTCAGACTCGATCCTGGCAGATAAGGCAACACAGATCGGAAACACATCCGACTAAAATGATGAGTCTTGCAAAAAGTGTCAGTCTGGCCAGTCTGTCTGCCACCTTAAATTCCTTTATTTTCAACAATACAACCCAAGGATAGAGTTTATTGATGAGTTTTAAATTATGGACTCGGGGGGACAATAATTGTGAGACAGCGTGGTGAAATCATGCCTGGACAAAAAAATCAAAATGAAGAAACTGGCATTTTTCCATAGGTTTGTGAATTTTTATCGATTTTTCATTTTTTGGCTAAACACCTTTCATTTTCATGCCCATTAAAGAACGCATTTCTGTGTCGATTTTACCGAAAAATATTGCTTAAAGTTAAAGGCTCAACAAATGTCAATTTTCAGTTTCCACGGACTATCGAGCGGCCCTATTCTTACTAATTTTACCTCTTCATAAACCAGATGATCCTCACCTCCTTCATTCGCAGATATCTCAAATTCTATTCAAGATAATGGGATATTTTTTTTCCTCCAAAGGAAGACAAATGAACAAGCTTTATTAAGGTGATACCAATAACTCTACATGCCCTAAAATTGACTAAACTAGCACCTGATTCCACCGTGTCGTGACGCAATAAACACATCTGTGTGTTTCAAATAGCGATGTCTTGGAGTGATGGACATGGTTCAAAACTGATGGTTCTTTCTGGAACGTTGGGTTTTCCAGCCACCTGGCACTGTCGTCACATTGGCATTTAAGAGGGACGCTATGTGGAGGTCCTGCCCCCCCCCCCCCCACGCTTGCAGTACTTATAGAGTTTAGTTTAGGCGCGTTTGACATGTAGTGTATTTCACATGTATTCAAAGGCTAGCAGAGTTCAAAATGGCCTTTTAACCCTATCCGTAGGTCGTGTTTTACTATCGTTTATTCGTATCCACACGACATGGAGAACTCTGCGCCACCACTTTCCAAAAAGAAAATTACTCGTTAATCCGATCCGTACGATTTGCACAGTTGTCTGTCAAAATGATTTTTTGAGAAATACTGAAAATTTCAAAGAGATCTTCGCACTAGAAGTATTCTAAACTGAAGAATACAACCCCGGGGTACCAAATGACCCCAGGACGTACGGACTAACTTCAGACGACTTTTGGCTGTGATTCTCTGTAAAGAATAATACCTCAAAGTGAAAATAAAGTAGGCCCCTATGAATGAGACAGAATGCATAACATTTATAAAGAAAAAATGAATAGGGCCTATTCTAAAAACGAATTTTTGCATGGATTGGGTAGCCGGTCTCTGTTAGGAAGCAAAGAAGTTGCCTTTGTTTCCTCTAAGGTGTTAACCATAAATATTAAAAGGCGATGTTGGGATAGGGGGAAAGGGGAGGGGAGTGGCTCGAGAAAAATCCCCTTTATAACATTTCAGGTTCTCTCTGTTAGTGCGACCAAAGAGAGTATACCCTACGGAGAGCAGTATCTTTCTGTCCCCCTTGTTTTATGTAAGAAAAATTCTGAAATAATGCTAACTCAGCCCAAAAATGTGAAATTATGCGATTCTGTTAATTTTAACAAAGAATGATAAAGGAAAATAATCAGAAATTATGCCCAAAAAAATGATCAAATTATGCGGGGTGCATAAAACCAGGGGGACAGAATAGGGGGGAAGGCGCTGGGAGAATAGATCGAGAAAAATCCCCTTTATAACAGTTCACGTTCTCTCTGTTAGGGTAACCAAAGATAGAACACGTATACCCTGCGGAGAGTATCTTTGGTGTAACACTGTTTCTCCCCCCCCCTTCTCTCTCTCTCCCTTTCTCTCTCTCCCTCTCTCTCCCTCTCTCTCTCTCTCTCTTTCCTCTCTATCGGTCTATCTCTCTCCTCCCTTTCTCCCCCTATCTCTCACTTTCTCTCCCTCCCTCCATCTCTCTCTCCCCCCATCTCTCTCTCTTTCCTCTCTATCTCTCTCCTCCTCTCTTTCCTCTCTCTTTCTCTCTCTCTCTCTCTCTCTCTCTCCCTCTCTTTCTCTCTCTCTCGCCCCTCCCCCTCTCTCTGTCCCCCCCACTCTCTCTCTTTCCCCCTCTCTCTCTTTCTCCCTCTCCCCCCCCTCTCTCTCTCT